GGGATTAAGGTTGTTTTGCTGGTGGCCACTGGGTCCCTCGGTGGCCGCACGCACATCCCCCCCCCCGCCTCGGTCCCCCAACACCCCAGGGACTTTTTGGGGGGGTTGGGGGCAGCACCCAGCTCCCTGGTCCTTGGGGTTTTTCTCCTCTGGGGTCCTGGGGCCACCGTCCCTTCTCATTCTGGGTCTGGGGGGGTGTCCCTGGGGAGGAGCAGGGTGGTGACCCCCCCAAATGGGGCTCACCAGGGCTTCTCTGCCTCTTTCTCCCCCCCCTCTGTGGGACAGGGGACCCCCCAGGTGACGAGCGGCCCCTCTTCATCACCTTCAAACCCCTCACCGAGGACAAAGCCGGCACCAAGGTGGGACTCGGCACCACCCCGGGGCTGCCCCACGGTGGGGAGATGCCCCTGGGCCACCACGAGGACACAGATGGCACGGTAGGACGGGGGGGACTGCAAAAAGGTCTGTGTCCCCCCCCAGCTCACTGTCCCTGAGCTCACACACCCGTGGGGACCTGCACCAGGAGCCCCACAGGGGAAGCAGAGCATCTTCGGGGCACATCCGAGCCCCCCGTATTGTCCTGTTGTCCCCCCACCTTTCCCTCCAGGTGCCCCCAAGCTCCTGGTTGTCCCCACCAGGCTGGTCCCTGGGGGAGGGCGACCTGCGGCCGGAGTTGGTGGCCCTGCGCGCCCGCACCAGGCGGTGGTTCCAGCAGACACAAGCCAAGAGGCTGGTGGCCCAGGGCCAGCTCCCAGCCTGGTTCCACGGCTTCATCAGCAGGAGGTGAGGAGGGAGGAGGTGGTGGTGGGGGGACACCCCCTGTGGCGTGGAAAGGTGGCAATAGGGAGGTGGCCCCCCCAAAATGGGCTCCCCTTCCCACAGGGAGACGGAGGAGCTGCTGCGGGATCAGCCCCCCGGCTGCTTCCTGGTGCGGTTCAGCGAGAGCACGGGGACACATATCTGGGACGAGGGGACACACATCTGGGACGAGGGGACACATATCTGGGACGAGGGGACACACATCTGGGACGAGGGGACACATATCTGGGACGAGGGGACACACATCTGGGACGAGGGGACACATATCTGGGACGAGGGGACACACATCTGGGACGAGGGGACACATATCTGGGACGAGGGGACACACATCTGGGACGAGGGGACACATATCTGGGACGAGGGGACACACATCTGGGACGAGGGGACACATATCTGGGACGAGGGGACACACATCTGGGACGAGGGGACACATATCTGGGACGAGGGGACACACATCTGGGACGAGGGGACACATATCTGGGACGAGGGGACACACATCTGGGACGAGGGGACACATATCTGGGACGAGGGGACACACATCTGGGACGAGGGGACACATATCTGGGACGAGGGGACACACATCTGGGACGAGGGGACACATATCTGGGACGAGGGGACACACATCTGGGACGAGGGGACACATATCTGGGACGAGGGGACACACATCTGGGACGAGGGGACACATATCTGGGACGAGGGGACACACATCTGGGACGAGGGGACACATATCTGGGACGAGGGGACACACATCTGGGACGAGGGGACACATATCTGGGACGAGGGGACACACATCTGGGACGAGGGGACACATATCTGGGACGAGGGGACACACATCTGGGACGAGGGGACACATATCTGGGACGAGGGGACACACATCTGGGACGAGGGGACACATATCTGGGACGAGGGGACACACATCTGGGACGAGGGGACACATATCTGGGACGAGGGGACACACATCTGGGACGAGGGGACACATATCTGGGACGAGGGGACACACATCTGGGACGAGGGGACACATATCTGGGACGAGGGGACACACATCTGGGACGAGGGGACACATATCTGGGACGAGGGGACACACATCTGGGACGAGGGGACACATATCTGGGACGAGGGGACACACATCTGGGACGAGGGGACACATATCTGGGACGAGGGGACACACATCTGGGACGAGGGGACACATATCTGGGACGAGGGGACACACATCTGGGACGAGGGGACACATATCTGGGACGAGGGGACACACATCTGGGACGAGGGGACACATATCTGGGACGAGGGGACACACATCTGGGACGAGGGGACACATATCTGGGACGAGGGGACACACATCTGGGACGAGGGGACACATATCTGGGACGAGGGGACACACATCTGGGACGAGGGGACACATATCTGGGACGAGGGGACACACATCTGGGACGAGGGGACACATATCTGGGACGAGGGGACACACATCTGGGACGAGGGGACACATATCTGGGACGAGGGGACACACATCTGGGACGAGGGGACACATATCTGGGACGAGGGGACACACATCTGGGACGAGGGGACACATATCTGGGACGAGGGGACACACATCTGGGACGAGGGGACACATATCTGGGACGAGGGGACACACATCTGGGACGAGGGGACACATATCTGGGACGAGGGGACACACATCTGGGACGAGGGGACACATATCTGGGACGAGGGGACACACATCTGGGACGAGGGGACACATATCTGGGACGAGGGGACACACATCTGGGACGAGGGGACACATATCTGGGACGAGGGGACACACATCTGGGACGAGGGGACACATATCTGGGACGAGGGGACACACATCTGGGACGAGGGGACACATATCTGGGACGAGGGGACACACATCTGGGACGAGGGGACACATATCTGGGACGAGGGGACACACATCTGGGACGAGGGGACACATATCTGGGACGAGGGGACACACATCTGGGACGAGGGGACACATATCTGGGACGAGGGGACACACATCTGGGACGAGGGGACACATATCTGGGACGAGGGGACACACATCTGGGACGAGGGGACACATATCTGGGACGAGGGGACACACATCTGGGACGAGGGGACACATATCTGGGACGAGGGGACACACATCTGGGACGAGGGGACACATATCTGGGACGAGGGGACACACATCTGGGACGAGGGGACACATATCTGGGACGAGGGGACACACATCTGGGACGAGGGGACACATATCTGGGACGAGGGGACACACATCTGGGACGAGGGGACACATATCTGGGACGAGGGGACACACATCTGGGACGAGGGGACACATATCTGGGACGAGGGGACACACATCTGGGACGAGGGGACACATATCTGGGACGAGGGGACACACATCTGGGACGAGGGGACACATATCTGGGACGAGGGGACACACATCTGGGACGAGGGGACACAT